CCAATAGCATTTTTCACAGAACTAGAACAAATAATCCTATAATTTGTATGGAACCATAAAAGACCCTGAATAGCCAAAGCAATCTTGAAAAAGAAGAATAAAACTGGAGATATCACAGGGCCCCTGAGTGGTTCAGTCAGTTAGGTGTCTGCCTTTGGCTCAGGTCACGATCCCGGGGTCCTGGGATCGAGCCCTGCGACGTTGGGCTCCCTGATCAGCAGGGTGTCTGCTTCTCCCTCTCCCTCTGCCCCCCTGTTCATGCTCTCTTTAGCCTCTCTGTCAAGTAAATGAATAAAAAAAAAAACTGGAGATATCAAAATCCCAGACTTCAAGATATACTACAAACTGTAGTAATCAAAACAGTACAGTACTAGCACAAAAATGACATATAGATCGACAGAACAGAATAGAGAGCCCAGAAATAAACCCATGATTATTTGGTCAATTAATCTTTGACAAAGGAGGCAAGAATATGCAATGGGAAAAAGACTCTTCAACAAATGGTGTTGGGAAAACTGGACAGTTACATGCAAAAGAATTAAAATGGACCACTTTCTTACATCATACACAAAAATAAACTCAAAATCGATTAAAGACCTAAATAGGAGACCTGAAGCCATAAAAATCCTAGAAGAGAGCACAGGGAGTAATTTCTCTGACATTGGCCACACCAACATTCTTCTAGATATATTTCCTAAGGCAAGGGAAACAAAAGCAAAAATAAACTATTAGTACTACATCAAAATAAAAAGCTTCAGCATAGCAAAGGAAACAATCAACAAAACAAAAAGACAACCTACGGAATGGGAGAAGATATTTGCAAATGACATAGCCAATAAAGGGTTACAATCCAAAATATATAAAGAACTTACACAACTCAACACCAAAAAGCCAAATAATCCAATTAAAAATGGGCAGAAGACATGAACAGACATTTCTCCAAAGACATCCAGATGGCCAGCAGACACATGAAAAGATGTTCAATGTCACTCATCATCAAGGAAATGCAAATCAAAACCACGATGAGCTATCTCCTCAAACCTGTTAGAGTGGCTAAAACCAACAACATAAGAAACAATAACTGATAGCAAGGATGTGGAGAAAAAAGGAACCCTTGTGCACTGTTGGTGGGAATGCAAACTGGTGCAGCCACTGTGGAAGAGAGTATGGAAGTTTCCTCAAAAAGTTAAAAATAGAATTACCATATGATCCAGTAACTACATTAATGGGTATTTACCCAAAGAAAATGAAAATGCTAATTCAAAAAGATATATGCCCCCCTCCGTTTACTGCAGCATTATTTACAATAGCCAAGATATGGAAGCAACCCAAGTATCCATCCATAGATGAATGAATGGACAAACATGTGGTACATATAAACAATGGAATATCATTCAGCCTAAAAAAAATGAAATCTTGCCATTTGCAACAACAGGGATGGACCTATAGAATGCTAAGTAAAATAAGTAAGAGAAAGACATAATACCATACGATTTCACTCATATGTGAAATTTAACAAACAAAACAAACAAGGAAAGAAAAAGACAAACCAAAAAAACAGACTTTTAAACATAGAGGACAAACTGGTGTTTACCAGAAGGGAGTTAGTTGGTAGGGGGATGGATGAAATAGGTGAAGGGGATTAAGAGTACACATATTGGGATGAGCACTGAATAATATATAGAATTGGTGAATCACTGTATTGTTCACCTGAAATTAATATTACACAGTCTGTTCATTACTGTGGAATTAAAAAAAAAAAAAACCCAGCCAACTGACCTACACAGCCCAATCCAAGAATTACTAGATACTTGGTGCTAAGTCACATGAATTTTATTCACAAAGGAAAAAGAATGCAAAAAGATCAATTTGCTTAAATTTTCCTAAGTGACAACTCTATTCTAGACCAGTGATAAGGACAACTCCAGGGTGTGCCACCTTTTTAGATTCAAAGCCAAGAGGAAACACCAATGGTCACTCCTGGAGCCACTGTCGGTGGTGGTCTGGAGTGGACCTTACATCCCATATCTGTTTCACTCCCTACCTACTGAAAAACAGCACTGCTGTTTGCTGACCTGTCAGCTCAGGGGTGGACCTGACTGATTAAGGGATAATCCCAAGTGACTGATTCAGGAATGGGCATGGGACCCAATCCTCGCCTATGAAAATCCAGAAGAGGTTGCCAGAAGTTTCTGGTGGATGCCTGCAGTCAAATCCAGACCCTGCCAGGGCTCTGGTAACAGCTGAATTTTACTTGCAAATGGAAAAATGCAAGTCATCTCTTCAGAGAGTTATGAGAGAACAAACTATCTCTTAACCTGAACATGAACAAGGACGCAAACACCTACTGCTATGACAGCATCCTAAAATCCAACCATGAAAGAGGACGCCATGCATAAAAGCTAACACAAAGGAAGGAGGGCAGAGATAAGAGACTTACAGAGAACCAGAGCCTCAACTGTGCCCAGCTGACCTCCTGACTCTAGGCAAACAAGTAATATTCCTTAATATTAAAGTCAGACAGAATCAGTTGTATTTTACTTGCAGCCAAAATCCCTAACAGACTGGTACTATTTTTATAATCAGAAAAATATATATATTTAAAATATCAATGAATAAGGGGGAAAAAAACAGGCCATGCTCAATAAGAGCTTATCAGAGAAATACTAATGATCCCTTCCACAACTTTTGCTGGATATTGCTACATACACCTCCTTCTCATACTATGTGATATTTTTAATTAAAACAGAGTCTGTACTTTCAGGAAATGCTCAGATACTCTAATCACAAGAAAAGCATAGTCAGGATCAGAAGCATAGGATGGAAAGGGGATTAAGGGATGGCACACTGCCAAGCTTCAGAGCCTTTCCCACTCCCCAACCCCCAACCTAAGCTTCTTTATCAATTTTCATCACAATAATAAATTGAACAGTTTAAAAATCATGGCAGTATTCTCATCTTGGACAAGATGACCTCTTTAGACAGGGAAAATGTTTTACTGCACTCTACCAAAAGACCTATTTATTATTTTCAATGTCAGAACTGTCTTAATCATTTACCACTGCCACCATCTATCTCCCTTCTCCTTATTGCTGAGTTTGTGTTGGTGCGGATAATTAGAGCTATTGGCATTCAGTCCAGAAGTTTTCAAGAACTAAAGTAGGACCATTAGGGGAATTTTCTTAAATTCCTTCCTGACTGTAACAACACTAATGATGTGGGACTCTGGCCTACCCTTTCAAGTCTCTCTTTCTCACTTTTCCTGCCTCCTCACTGAACTTAGACCCACACAAGTTTCTTTTTTCTATTTGTATACCCAGGCTGTTTAATGTGGTAAAACACACACACACATGCACACACACACACACACACTCACAAAACCAATGAAGATGAGTGCCATGCACGCCTATGGTCTTGAAAGTTACTGCCCCTCTGTCATCCTGCAGGGTCAGCTCCATCTCCCAACTCTGTTCTTGCAAGCCCCTGCACACAAACCTCCTGCAGGGCACCTTCCTGCCACCTTCTACCTCCTCTGCAGGCAAGAATGCTTCAATGTCCTACCCTATTTACGTATTTACATTGCCAACGTATTTACATTGCCAACCACCATCATGATATTTTTCCTTCTTGGGTCAGAGGAAGGAGCATGGCCACTCCTACATAATTAATACTAAAATGATAACAAGAACACCCACAATGTACCACGTCTCCCATCTTACATAAAGCTTTATGCTCCATTTGTGCTCTAGATTGCATTATCTCCTCTCCTTAGTCCATTAATCCTCTCCTCTCCAGCTTCTCGACTATCACTTTCCCCTCAAATTCAAATCCCTCAGACTTCCACATCTAGCCAATATAAAGAAACAGTGAGATTTACCCTTCCACCTGAAACAACTTTTTTTAAAAATTAGGCCAAAATATATGAAACAATGATATTCCAGACCCTGGACATTAGGCAACAAAGGACAATGATGCCTGAAAGATGGGAAATACAGGTGATCCTTTGCTTACAGCCCTGAAAGCGCTTCCAGGCTGCAGCATAGGGAGGGGATCCTGGGTGGAGCCTGGTCAACTAGTCAAGTTGAAGAGATATGGCCTAGTCTTAAAAGACCAAAGTGAATCCACAGGACAGAGTGACAGGAGAGGTACAGAGAGAGAGAGAACTCAGGGGATCTGCAGAGGGTCCCGCTCGAGTACTCAGCAGAGTACTGGAGGGCCCAAGTGCATGATGAAACTACGGAGGCTGAAGGAAAAACCTGAAAGCATGAAAGGCCACAGTAATCGGAGCTCCCAGAGGGCCAGAATGCTTGGGGACACAGACATTCCATCTATAGCAAAAGCCAAGAAGCAGAGAAAAACCATAATTAAGTTGGACCTGCAACCTGAGAAGTACCACAGGCCAACAAAAGTAAAAGGGCAGCATCATTTTATCCAGAATTACTCCATAAATTTTGGTGGCCTATGAGTGGCAGGGCAGGGGAGAGGGGCATACTACTAAGTTCCTTCCTAGTGCCAGGCACTTGAGAGGGTTCAGTAAAACACAGTCCCTGCCCTTGTGTACATTCTGTAGTCTTCAGGACAGATGCATCAACTCCCTCCTCTGAGATACTCCTTCGGCTTTTGGCCAGCAGCCAGCTAAAAGGTCCCCTCCTTGAAAAAGCCTTCCTTCATCCCTCTAGTGACTACAGAGTAGCCTGCTTTCCTTTCCTTACCGTACTCTTCACAATTTCTAATTATCACTTATTATTACTATATGATTATGATTACTTATTGTTTTGTCCTATGAAGATTTAGAATATGAGCTCCATCAGCGAAGAAATCATGTCTGTCATCACAGCACAGCATATAACCACTGAAGGTACTCAAACACTTCCTGAATTAATGAAAACAAGAGCTAAGACCAGGATAAGTTTTCTGATGATCAGCATTTCCTAGGCTAGTTAGCCCCAAATCCTTAGATTTGGTTCCCCTAGTTATGAAGGCGCATACAAAGTACTCACCTCTACCTGAGTCACATTGATGACCAGCACCACCACCATCAGCACTGCAAGCAGACAGCAGAAAAGCCGTAGTTTGAAGAAACTGATCCACATTGTCTGGCTGTGTCTTGATCACCCATGGCCGACGCCATGCTACCTTCACTCCTCAAAACTCCATGTCTTTGTTCTTCTGATCTGCAGATGAGCTTTTAGCGGAATTTGTTTCTTTTCTGCTAGTATCATTAAGAGTTCTTTGTATGGAGGAGAGGCTGGGGTTGATTTAAGAGGCACATTTTTCTTCAAAGGACTCCTTCAAAGAGGGAAGATGAGAATACAGATCACCAACTGCAACAGCCTAGTGTGTGGTAATAGGAAAGATGCCACACTTCTTCTTCCTTAGCCCTCTCAAAGGCCCAAAGTCATGAGGGGAAAGCAAAGAGCCAGAGCACAGTAAGATCTGTTCCATATTCAATTTGCTCAAACCCAACCCGACTTCCATATAAATACAGCGATATTTGTCCTGCGAATTTTAGGTTTTAACTCTGAAGAATGTCTTCAGGGTGCCTGAGTGGCTCAGTTGGTT